ACTTGTTCTGCGTGTAGTACGAGCCACAGATCGTCGCAAGAGAGAAATAGGGAAAGATGGCGTGCCATTTTTTAAGATGGAGAAACATTGCGAAGCGATGGGCAGACGACGCATCGATGAAAATACATGGATAGAGATGGTGCACCGAATGAGAGAGATGGCGCACCAAGAGAGATGGATGGAGTCACAGTCTTCCCCCGAATACGTCTGGTCATTACAGCTGAATTCGGGTTATCTTTCAGTCTAAAGACAACTGTAATGAAAGTGCGTTGTATATTCCGGGGAAGAAGGTGGATGGCGCAGGAAGGAAAAAAAATCGCGAACTGATTGGGAGGTGTGCCGCAGCGAGAGAGAGAGATTGCGCACCGATGGAGAAACATGGCGCAGCAATGGAGATAGCAGGCGCAGCGATGGTTAGCGATAGCAAAGCAATGGAGAAAGATGGCGCACCGTAGCAGATAGATGACGATGGAGATAGATTAGGAAAGATAGCGCAGCGATGGAGATAGATGACGAAGGAGATAGATTAGGAAAGATAGCGCACCGAAGGAGATGGATGACGAAGGAGATAGATTAGGAAAGATACCGCAGCGATGGGGATAGATGACGAGAGGTCGGTAGAGATCGCGCATCGGTGGAGAGAGATGGAGAGAGGACGCGCAACAATGGTTAGCGATGCCACAGCGATGGAGAGAGAACGCACAGCGATGACCAAGATTTGTTATTGCACAACATCAGTTCCATCGAGTTAAACCTTCGTTAAGCATACCTGTCACCTGTTTCATGCGATTCCATAGTGATGGGCGGCTGCACCGACGACGACCTGAAACAACAATACAATGGCGATGGCGGGATCGCGCACGAGTAATGGAGAGCCTCTGGGGCAAGGATGGAGGTTGCCCGGTTGTCGAGAGAGATCACGCAATGATGGAGTGAGATGGAGAGTGATCACTCAGCGATGGAGGGAGATCGTGCGGCGATGGAGAGAGAAATCGCGCAGCGCTGAGGTGGGATAACACTGGCCAGGGCTTCGATAGCGATGGCCAGCGCTGCGGTGGAGAGCGATGGCGCACCGGTGGAGAGCGATGGCGCGGCGATGGAACGCGTTACAATGCATCGATAGCGATAGCGATGGCAGCGATGGAACAGCGATAGCGATTGCGCAGCGATAGAACAGCGATAGCGATTGCGCAGCGATGGCACACCGGTGGACATCGATGGCGCAGCGGTGGAGAGCGATGGCGCAGCGATGGAACAGCGATAGCGATGGCGCAGCGATGGAACAGCGATAGCGATGGCGCAGCGATGGAACAACGATAGCGATGGCGCAGCGATGGAACATCGATAGCGAAGGCAGCGATAGCGATGGCAGCGATAGCGATTGTAGCGATAGCGATGACGCACCGATTGAGAGATGGCGCAGCGATGGAACCAACGTTGCGGTGGCAGCTATGGTACCAGCGTTGCGATGGCGCAGTGATGGCCAGCGCTGCGATGAGAGCGATGACGATTGTCAGCGTTGCGATGGTCAGGCGAGCGTGACGGCTGCGATGGGGGATATAGCTTTGCATCGCGATGGAGATGAGCTAAGCGCATCGATGGCGATGGTGCATGGCGAGCGTTGGCGATGGCAATGAGCTAAGCGCATCGATAACGATGGTGCATGGCTAAGCGTATCGATCTGTTGACATTTGCAAAATGTCAGAATGACAGCGACACTGGAACTTATAGATTTCCGGTGTTTTTGACCTCGGCGCAAAACGAATCGCCACGCCTCGGCGGGAAATAAACCATCGCCTGGCCTCGACGCGCAACGAACCGCCTCGGCGCACAACGAATCGCCGCACCTTATAGATTCTTGCGCCTTACCTCGTGTGTCGGATCATGCCGATCGACGGTCCAGATTACAACTGCGAAAATGACATTGCCTGCCCTTTGTTTTCGGGAACTGTCACATCATTGCACGCCGGAGTAGACGGAGATTTTGGGGCCACTGGCATAATAGTGGCTCTGTTCATCTGCGCGGTTGAAAATTGTTGATCGACGGCTGACAATTTCCGGTACCCCTTACCGTTTATAGGCCCTGGCGTTTTATGGGCCCAGGGGTGCGATACGCGAATCGATTCGGCCCCACCTTGATGGCGTTTTATGGGCTCAGGGGTGCGATATGCGAATCGATTCGGCCCCACCTTGATCCCGACATGAGGCTTGCTGCAACAAAGTATAAAAGGCGTTGCAGCCCTCGAGTTATCTCTTTTGTTGGCGCTCCACAGATCAAGTCGCGCTATTGCTTTCGCGCCCGTTCTGATATTTGGTCTTCAACCCCCCCTACCTTCCGCCAAAGCTCGCTCACTCTTCGCTCTTCGCTCCGTCCGCAGTTGCCACGTTGTATTCGGTTCGCTCTTCGCTCCTCGGTCTTCGCTCTTCCTAGCTCGATATCCCTCCAGCATAGCTGGTTCGGTGGTTGGTTGCTCGCTCAACGCACGGCGAAGGTAAAATCATATAACTTAAGTTGTCCTATTCTGTGTCCGACGTCCGAACACATTCCCAGATGCCCTGTCTGTACCTGCAGGATATAACGCCGCAGCCGCGTTCTGTTGAACCCCGAATCAATTCCCGGTTTTGTTGTTTCGCCAGTGGACGTGCTCTGATCTCTTTTCTCCACCCTCCACCTCCGTCCGCCATAGCCAATCCGCATTCCGCAGCTCGATTACCTTTCGCCATAGCCACGATAACGTTCGTATAAAGCCGCTCGATCCCCTTCGCAACTTGCAGTCGTCGCTGCGCATGGCGAACCCCGAATCAATACCTAGTTTCTACACTGAACACCGAATCAATTCCCGATTTTCGCTCACCTGTCCCTTGTGAGGTCGCCGACCTGATATCTACATATATATATATAAAGATATATATACATATATGTATATATAAAGATATATTGCTACACTGAACACCGAATCAATTCTTGATTTTCGCTCACCTGTCCCTTGTGAGGTCGCCGACCTGATATATATATATATATATATATATATATATATAGATACATATATATATAGAGAGAGATATATTGCGAGTCAGTTCGCAGTTTGCGACGTACAGTATTCGAGGAGTCACAACTGCGAGGTTATTCGCAGTTTTTCCAAGGTTAGACACATATTTCATTAAAGGCAGTTCTTTATTTCCACAAATGCGAGTTAGTTTGCACTTTTTGAGCAACACTGCTGGAGAGTTGACAACCCAACCCGTGCGGCTTTCAGGTCTTCAGTTCCACAATTCCGAGTTAGTTCGTTCTTTCCCCTAGTGCTGCGCATCGCCATTATTGTCTTGTCTACAGAACTGCGAGTTAGTTTGCACTTGGCGAAACCCTTCGCAATTGTCGATAAACCAGGACTTCAGTTCCACAATTCGGAGTCAGTTCGTACTTTCTCGTTGCACTTCGGGTTGCAATTGTCGTCCTGTCAGCAGAACTGCGAGTTAGTTCTCACTTGTTGATTCGCACTTGTCGATAAACCACATCTTACTCGTTTCGTGCATCTTTCAGGTCTTCAGTTCCACAATTCCGAGTTAGTTCGCACTTTCCCCTAGTGCAACGGGTTGTCATTGTTGTCTTGTCTACAGAACTGCGAGTTAGTTCGCACTTGCGAAAGGCAGAACTGCGAGTTAGTTCTCACTTGTCGATTCGCACTTGTCGATAAACCACATCTTACTCGTTTCGTGCGTCTTTCAG